TGACAACTTTCTTTTTATCTGCGTTATAAGCACGAATTTGCATCGTTGTCCAACTAACAATAAGAGGAGTTCATTTTTATGTATTCTTTTCAAATATCTATTCATGTGGGAAAGAGCTGGTTTTGTAATCTTGGTTTCCCATCCCACCCCACCACACCTTATTTTTGTTACTTATCATATCGACTCGAAAAATTGGTGAAGGGTCGAAGGATCAAATTGGGTTCAAATGAGTTCGAATGAGGGTGGGTCCTTTGGCCCAGAGCCCACAAAGGCCATGTTGGTCATTGGGGCTCGTTTTTTATGAGACGAGCTTGTTTAGTTCAACTTGTCGAAATTTAAGTTGGAGATAATTTTGTCCCTTAGTGGTTTGGAAAGTTGGTAAAATATACAAGTTTGGAGTGGGAGAGTAGTTTAAGTATCTCAATTGTTACTAAACTTTCTTAAATAGTTTTAAGTTATCTTTGAACTTTAAAAGTTTTTAAGTAGTCACTGATTTTCTTAAAATATTGCTCGGTTTGTCCTTGATCTTTAAAAATTTTCAAATTTGCAACGGAAGTTATCAAAATGTTATTTCGCACGTCACGTGCTCTTTTAAAAGTTAACATAATTGATAAAATGGAAAGAGGAATTTTCGCATGTGGCATGCTTCGAAGTTAGTATATGCCCCATCTTCAAAATCGCGAGTGACATGTGTTTACAAAAAGGTGAGTGACGATTGACATATAGGGTAACAATATTTTAGTAAGTTAATCGGCAAATCGGAAAACTTTTAAAAATCAATGACAAGTGAGAAATATTTTAGAAAGTTAGGTGACAATTAGGATATTTAACCCTAGGAATGTATTGAAGGTTCCGAAATTTAAAAGGTAAAACCTCACACCACCCCGACACTGCACAAAAACACGCTTTCTGAAAGAATTTAATTGGTGGAATCACTTACGTTGGCGAAAAGAAAAATATATTTTTATATATTTTGAATATTTTTTCTTATTTAATTTATGAAGGACTCAATTAGTGTAATAAAATGAACTTTTTATAAAGAATTTTTAAAGAATAATTTGATAGAAATGGGTAGTTGAAATGAATAGTAATTATTTGTCTTAATAAATGTTTCATGAAATTAATATTTTATTTTGATCTTAAAATTATAATGAGATGATAATGAAATCCAAACAAGTGTAATAAATTGATTTATAGGTTTTGACTCAACGAGATTTTATATGTACATGAAATATCTATATGAAGAGAAGAACAATTAGCATCACAATCGATCAACTTTGCCAAAGGCTGTGTTCGATTTTACGAAGGAAAATATTAATTTTTGTAAAATCTTAAGCAAGAATCTAAATTTGATAGAAAACATTAAAGAAAACTTTTCTCACGTTAAAATTTTTTCTTTATAAATAGAAATTTCATAAATTTTGAAGCATATTTGCACTAAGAAATGAATATATTAAAGAAGAGCGACATGCCATAATTTTTGCCCATTTTCATTTGATTTAAAATGTCAAAATTGTTCAAATATGAATCTTAAAATCTGAAAATTTCCTACTAAGAAATCGGCAACGCTGAAAAATAAAAAATAAGTAAATTAGAAGTTTCATTCATTTATATCATATCAAATCTTCTACATGAAATTTAAATGAGAGGCCCGATCATTTTAGGGAAATATACACACGAAGTTCTTTGTACATAAGAGCGAACATTTATAACCTAAATCTAACATTTTGGAGCAGAATCAAAATCAAACCAGAATCAGAGGTTAGAAATCCGACGCTTTGATAGAGTAAAAGATACTGAATGGAATGATTTTGAATATCGATAGGGCAACCTTTCGAACTGCTGCTGAATCCATGGGCAGGCAAGAGACAACCTGGCGAACTGAAACATATCAGTAGCCAAAGGAAAAGAAAGCAAAAGCGATTCCCGTAGTAGCAGCGAGCGAAATGGAAAGTAAAAGGTCCCGACAAGAAAATAATCCTATTTGACCACTGTACATTGCTAACATCAAGAAATGAAATAGTCGAGAATGATACTATACAATCAATCGAAGGGATGGATCAAATCCAATAAAAAAAAGGAGGTTTCTTTTAGGAAAAGGATTAAGAAAAATAGGACTAAAAATGCAAGTACAATAAAAATTCCGTAATCCTAAGCCAAATCCTGTTTTCCCAAAACAAAGGTTTAGAAAGAAAAAAAGATAGGTGCAGAGACTCAATGGAAGCTGTTCTAACAAATGGAGTGGACTGCGTTGGTAGAGGAATCTTTCCATCGAAACTTCAGAAAGGATGAAGGAGTTCGACCCTGGCTCAGGATGAACGCTGGTGGCATGCTTAACACATGCAAGTCGGACGGGTAATCGAAAATGATATCTGAAGCGGGTATCCGCCTCTTAAATCGAATGTCATAATCCAACCCAACAAATAGCTAGTTTGCAAAGACCCAACAAATAGCTAGTTTGCAAGATCCAATTATCAAGTACACTAATCAATCACATTGATTCAATTGAATAATTGAAACATATCACTTGTTTGTACCTACTTTTGATTGCACGTCACACTACTCGCTCCACAGACCCTTCTTGAGGTGTTGCACATAAAGCCGCAATCGAAATTGGATATTGTTTTGTAGCTTATTTGCAGTGGATTATGAGAGTGCTGAAATGTGTTTTTGGTAACATTTTGTTTCTTATTAATATTTAGGCGCTCTTTATATTGTTAGCTAAATAAAACTGAACTTAAAAAATAGAATTGACAGTTTGGGTTTGGGAATGATTCCATTAATTAAGTGGACCCGAGTTATTTCATTCATGAAATAATGGAAGTGTAATGAAGGGTCCAAATATTGAAATACTCGAACTGACTCACCCCTAATGCCCAAACTATATATCAAATTACTACTCATTTAATATTCATATTTGTCGTGAAATACATTTCTCATCTTATTATAATCGACTTGTAAGTTATTGATCTTAGTTTTTATTAAAGAACTTTTGTTAAAGAATAAGACGACAAATGATCATATTTTATATTACTCTAGAATTTACCCAATCTATTTTAACGTTATCAAAAAATATTTTGTCCAATTAGAAGAGTTATTTCTTATAGTGGATCGATAACGTGTAACTTAACCTTCAATTAAATTGGCGTAAATTAACTAAACTAAGTCAAATATTATTTTTCGTAAATTTTGACGAAAGTGTTTTGCAGTAATTATAAGTGGAACTCGTCTTACTTTAATAAAAATGATTTCTTTTATCCAAGTAACCTACTTGTTTTGCCACCATACAACCAAAAAAAAAAAAAATAAAAAAAATAAAATGCAAAGCATGTTTGGAAGTTGTTTGCAAAGTTTAAATTATAAAGGGAAACTGGCAAAAAAGGTCCCTAACATATGGCGTTGATGTGAACATGGTCCCTAACTTCTTAATCTTGATGAGAACAACTTTAACCTTTTACTTAATGAGCATAATTAGTCATTTTGGATGCTTTCAATCTAATTGATAGTTAAAAAGGTCGAACTTATGTATATTCAAAATTTTATAGTATTTTCTTTTTTACTTCCACATCTTAAGAGAGTCCTTATTATAGTTTTTTTTTAATAAGTATTTTCTATTTTACTTCAAATTTTAAAGCATGGACTTGCACTGAAGATGCATTTATGAGAAATTGATTGGTATGATGAGATGTATTTTATTAATGTCATATTTTTATTTCATTCCAACTTTTTTTATTTTATTATAAGTAAGGACAGTCTAGTATTTTTTTAAATAAAAAAATTTGACTTTTTTAAAGGTTAATTGGATGAAAATATCCTAAAGGACCAATTCTGCCTATTGAGTGGAATGTTAGGGATGTTTGTGCCAAATTTTATATGTTGGAGATCATTTGCACAACAACCACATAAGTTGAGGACCATTTGCGCCCTCATTTCAATTATAAATAAATAAATGAGTGAAAGATAACACGTTGTCACATCGACGGTTGGTTTTTAAATTTGTTTTCCAAGAAAACAAATTTAAAAATCTACTGCGCACAGGAGATCAATTCCATACTAGTTGATTTCATAAAATATATAAATAATTGTAATTTGACAGATTATGCAATTTATAAATGGTAGATGGTACTCTAGAAATCTATTTTTCATACTCACTCTATTTGTAATATCGTGTAAGTTACTAGTACACAAAAACAAGTTTTGGACAGAACTTGTAAAGAAAAGGTACTTATTTTGCACGAGTTATTTTGAATTGTGAACTTAAAAAAAAGAAAAAAAAAAGTTTAATTGTGTAAAATGGAACCAATCCATTTTGACACTACTACAAAGAGTTGAATTATCATCATGAATCATGATGCCTCGTCATGAGTTTATGAATATATAAATAGTAAATTCAGTTAATGTTTCGCGAAAAATACGTGTATAGAACATGTTTGTCACGTTTAAAGATGAGTAAAAGTTAAACTCTTGGGCAACTTTATGTATCCAAACATATTTGAACGCATAATTTTTAACTTATTTTTAAGGTTAACCATAGTCCAATACAAAAACTTATTTATTTTAGAACTTATTTTGAGTTCAATGTTTCATTAGTCATTGAACTTCTACTTCTGTCACGATTTACTCATTAAATTTTAAAATACTTTTTAGCGATCATTGAATTTTAACACATTGCACTCCATCACTTACTCAACATATTTTATTAGTCACTAAACTTATACATTCATCAAATTTTACTCACTGAACTTATACTTCTGTCATACTTTATTCACTAAACTTTAAAATACTTCCGATTGATGGCTGATCGTTATACTTATTGAATTCAAGTGTTCAAAAATTGAAAATTTTGAAGTATATAATAATTTACACGAAAACGACGCTTTTCTTTTCTCTTGAATTACCTTGTGACGATTCTAAAAAATTAATTTTTTTTTTAGTTTTTATTAATATTGTTGACTCTAAATTGAAAATTTTATAACCGATTTGAGA